TCTTCTCGCTTGGCCTCTCATGACTGTGGGGATGCTGCAACAGTCGTAAGTGTGAAAAATGGCCATAAGTCACTTTTTCCAGTGCCATTGTAACTTTAAATGTTCACTCCACACAAGCAAAGTACCAGCAAAGGAGGGGAAAAAAACTCCAGAGAGGTTCCAGAGACGGGAAGTCTAGTCCTGCCAAGAATGGAATAAGGGTTAACGGAGAGGCAGTTTCTGTAAGCAACACCAGAATGTTTCCTTCCTGCCTTCCTTACAGGATTAGCCCAGTAATTTCTTCTAACAACCGGTTCTCCCAACTGATTAGAATGTTAACAACCGGTTCTAGCGAATAGGTGCGAACTGGTAGAATCCCACCCCTGTGCAGGGCGCACATGGAGGCTCGGGGAAGGTGGAAAAATGGGCCTCCCCGGGAAGGCTGGAAATGGGCCCGTTTCTGGCCTCGAGAGAGCCTCCGGAGCCTGGGGAGGCCAACACGAAGGAAAGCCTCGGGAGCCTGGGGAGGGTGAAAACGCTCCCTCCCTGCCGTGGTACAGGAGGCCGACTAGGCCACGCCCAACATGGCCACACCCACCCAGCAACCGGGCACAGAACCGGTTGTTAAATTTTTTTAAACCCCACCTTTGCTTTACAATCACAATTTTAGGTTCAATTACAAGAACCACCTGCAGATAAAAAAAGCGAGCATTAATTTAAAACACAACACACACACTTTAAAGGTCTGGTTCTCAAGGTTGTGTTTCCTTTTTTATTGCAAAAACTCATGTCCAGACTTGGCAAAAAAAAAAAAAAAGGTTTTCAATAACACAGCACAAGAACAGGCAATCTTCCAGAAATAAAAAGTACAAGTTACAAGCGTGTGCTCTTTCGGTTGTACAAAAATGGACAAGCAAACCCTGTTTGATTTGTGTTGCGTTGTGTTGTTTTTTTCCCCTGCGCAACTTTGCAGGCGTGTAGGTTTTCTTTTCTTTTTTTAACACAAGTCCCGCGTTTGGACATGTCGTGGTTTTTAGGCTTAACGACATTCAGAGAGTGCGACCCTCACACAGGCTCGTAGCTGATGGCAGCGTAAATACTGAGAGGATGTCACAAGTAGTCCCCCCGCAGTTTTGAACGGCGACAATTAAGGGAAGAGTAGGGCGAGTTGTGGAGTTGTGGGAGAGATGAAGCAGAAAGTTTGAGGCCTGAGCCTCCAGTTTCTGCTCGGGAGAGGAGGCTGGTAAAGATTTCCAAAGCTTGTCACAAGCCATATTATTCCAAATTAAATTGAAACACGTACATCTAGAATGCAGCGGAATATAAACATCGGTATTTATCCTGGAACCACTGTTCTCACAAAAGTTTCCCCGTTGCTTGAGTAGTGCCGTTACGGAACAAGAAGAGACAAATTTTGGAATATTATCTCCGCGATCTACCGCTGGGTATTTTTGGCAAGGGTCAGATCCCAGCCCAAAGTGATTGGGTGACCCCTTGCGTGGACAAACGAGGCCTCGGGCCACTGAGCTACCCGGCCTCGCCCGTCATAGGATGCTCGGAGGGACCAAAGGATTAGAAAAAAGAAAAAATAAATCTGAGTAACTCACATGGTGGTTATGTACACAGCAGATTCCACTGTCAAAGGAAATGTTTTGGTCACACCAAAACGGTGGGGGGGGGGGGGGTTGATGTACAATTAAAAGATGCAAACAATTTTGTTGGAAGCTATAGTTAAGACCGAGGCCTTGAATTTTTCATCTCATTTGATGTGCAATTGAAAAAAACAACAAAACCACAGCAATTCCCCCCCCCCCCAAAAAAACCCTGAATTTTGTTGGAAGCCATAGGACAGAGGCCTTGAATTCTTCATCTCTCCTAAAATGATCAATTGATCCATTTTTATCGATGATCCCAAAAGATACGTAAAAGAATGGATTTGAGCTCCGGTGAACAGAAAGGCCACATCCATATAATGTTCTTGGCAAGAATGCAGAAGGGGATGTTTGGCTGACTTCCCAGGCTAGTCTGTGGCTCTAAAATTTCTTGGTGGTCTCCCATCCTGCACAATATTCCCCCCCACCCAAGATGTGCTGTGAGAAACCAATTCAAGTCCCTTCATGCTGTTTCCAGTGCCTTGTGGTTTTTCCCACCCATCCCTGTTGTGTTTAAAAAGAAAGGAATTGCCAAAGGCTTTCAGGAGCCACAGGAAGCTTTAGGAGCTCAGATTATATACCTCTGATTTAGAGGAACCTGCTAATACTTAAATAACCATCACAAAGCGATTTTTTAAAAAAAAAACCACACACACATTGAATTGGAAACAGGTACCCCAAACTTGGAATGGCAGTCTTTCTGTACAAACAGAAATACACAATGCAAAAATGGCAAGGCAATAAAGTCAATTATTGCATTACCACAGCCATTGGCCCTTACTATAGTAGGTATTCGTACCACCTACACATTCTTTACTCAAGGGAGCAGGGGCGAAAGATTAAGTGACTGGAAGAGGGAGAAAAAAATCCCCAAACAGTGCAAAGGTTTTGCGCCAACTCGGCGTTAAATCGTGATTTTAGGAGCCATTGGGCCCAAAGGCCTCCCTCTGGTATTTCTTAATAAATTACATATAGGTTTACTCACTACGAGTGAATACGATAACATGTGTGAATCCACTTACAACAGTCCTTCCCTTAGCTCTGAGCAACTAGTCTCACACCGAAGTCTCAGAATCAAGATATGTGGTTTGTTGTTTTTTTTTCTGGTTTTTTTTTTAAATAAAAAAAAAAGAGTCTTGTCTTGTCGAAAACCCTCCGACGTAAACTGTTGGGTGCAAGATTTTTTTTTAAATCCGCAGGACAACTTCCGGAGGGTTAGGGGGATCTTGGTGGATGTAGTTTCTTAAAGATATGACAATATGCCATACTTGGAGAAGTAAGTCACAGACTTATTTCAAAATGAAGGATCGTTTTCGCTTCCATCTAAAGCGGGGAGACAGAAAAGGAAGATCAGTCAGTGGATGGAAAACGCCAAGCTCCAAACTCAAATCACGTGCTTTCTGGGGCCTGCTCCCCCACTGTAAGGACTAGAAACTTGTTTCTAAATCTGAGATTGGTTATTCTCAGGATTTCTTTCTTGGCCAGCAGGCTGAAATTCTGGGAGTTGAAATCCGTAAAGCTTAAAATGTGCTGGCTGGGGAATTTTGGGAGTTAGGTGGGTTTTTTAAAAAAAGTTTTTGTTTAAATATGCTGCTAATCCAGCCACCTCTGGCCCCAATTCTGGAGGGCCTCCTCCTGCTGCGAATGGGGAATCTCTCGCCTCCCCTAATCCTGTCTGTCAAGACTCTCCCCCATCTAGGTCAGGGTTGCCCTTCAGGGGCTTTTTCCAAAAGGCAAATGGACTTCCTGGGTTTCTTTTTTCTTAGAAAACTTTTTGCTTCTCATCTAAGAAGTTTCTTCGGTTTCCTTGAATGAGAAGCAAAGCATTTTCAAAGAAAAGGAAAGAAAAAAGATGAAAACAAGGAAAGGAAGGAAGGAAGGAAGGAAGGAAGGAAGGAAGGAAGGAAGGAAGGAAGGAAGGAAGGAAGGAAGGAAGGAAAGGAAGAAAGGGAATAAAGAACAAAAAAAGAAAGAAAGAAAGAAAGAAAGAAAGAAAGAAAGAAAGAAAGAAAGAAAGAAAGAAAGAAAGGAAGGAAGGAAGGAAGGAAGGAAGGAAGGAAAGAAAAAGAAAGAAAAAAGAAAGAGAAAGAAAGAAAGAAAGAAAGAAAGAAAGAAAGAAAGAAAGAAAGAAAGAAAGAAAAGGGAAGGGAAGAAAGGAAGGAAAGGGAGAAAGAAA